ATACATGTGAAAAATAACTCTTTTTGTCTCTCTCTCTCTCGCCGTTTTAAAGTTCATTTAGAATACTGAGTAACAGTCTAATGTGCACATATCTTGAATGTAGTGTTATCTAGGAGACTGCAAGGAAAGTCTGGAAGGCAGAGAGCTAATTTCGGCACCTAAGAGCATTTCTTTTTTTATATATATATATAAGTGTAATAGGTCCCCCACGTGATTGCTGTGCGCTTGCTACACCATAGCCAGGGAATATTTGAAACTCGGGGAGAGGCTTGGCTCTCTCTCTCTCTGCACTGTCTCTAACAGTCAATCAGGCGCACGAGGGAGCGCTCAGTGGCTTCCCGAACAGCCCGTCTCCTCGTGCTTGTGAAGGAGCGACATTCTGGAGAAAGTCCTGGAGCAGGTTTTGCACTGATACTTCTTGACGTCCGAGTGCGTCTGCAGGTGGGCTCGGAGGTTTGAGCGGTCGGCGAAGGCACGGTTACAATGCGTGCAGGAGAACGGCTTTTCACCTGTCGAAAAGGAAAAGAAAAAAATGCCGTTAGCAACCAAGAAATTAAGATTCGAGATTCACCTCATAATCATTTCTAATTAGTCAATGGGAGGAGGTGTCGGGGTCTGCAAGGGTGTATGGGATTTTAAGTTGTCAAAATAAAGTGCTTCATTGAATTGGCATTCAGCCATTGCATAAGATGCTAATAGGCACATGGCACTAGACTAGCGCCTATGAGGCATTTATCCAACACAATTAATGCCTTTTGAGTTTCCTTTGCATAGCCTTTAGCACTTGAAGAGGGTGTGAAATTAGCCCCATACAAGTCACAACAATCAAGACTGGATGCGGAGAAGGAAGGAGTCTGCATCGCAACACAAGCCAACAGCTGCAAGTACACAGGCCCTACAACTGTACAGTAACAGGTGCAATTCATAGGCCCACCCTACACAACATCCGCTCTACCTCCTCAAGAAGAATCGCCCTGGCTGAAATAATCCACATTCATTTCCTTTCCCTTAAATAAACTCTATGGACCACCAACACACAAAACATCACAAGGGCCCAGTGTAAAAAGAAGCAGACCTCAGACCTAAAGGCTTGGGATCTGAAGTCGTACTGCTAGAGTGCAACTGCCAATGGATATCAATGGTTAGAAAAAGTTGTATAGAGGTGATGAGTTCCTTACCTGTGTGAGTTCGGATATGCCCCTGTAGAAGCCACGGTCTGGAGAAGGCTTTGCCGCAGATTTTGCAGACACAAGGAAGAGTGTGGCTCCTGATGTGCATCTTCAGGGCCCCCAGGCTGACATATTCCTTGTCACAGTATTTGCAGCTGAAGGATTTTCTGGTTTGCGAGTCACAGTGCAGTTGCTTATGTTTGGACAGTCCAGCGAAAGTAGAGTAAGACTTGTTGCATTGGTTGCAGTGGAACTTCTCGGCTTCCGTGGCCGAGGACGCCGGGCTGGGGGGGTCGGAGGTCTTGCCCTCGTCGTCCTCGCTGGAGAAGGACGTGAGGTCCAGGGGCTTGGAGTCGTCGCCGCTTGACGTGGAGCTGGGGGACTTGCTGTAGTCGGGGTCAGTGGTGGTGAAGAAGGTGGTGAGCAAGCTGGTGTCCCAGACCAGTGGCGGGAAGTAAGCTCCGGTTGTCAGGATCTCCGGGTGGGGTATGACAGGTATGGGGTACTTGTCATAGAGGAATGGCGAGATGTACACTGTGACGAAAAAACACACAACCATGAGATTCATATCCTAGGGCCACGCTTATGCTAATTATACAGAAAGCAAGAAGCAACAAGTAGAGAGCAATATAATATATAATATTAAAGGGCTCTGATGCCACTAGATATTCACAATACCAGAGAATAGAAGCAACAAGTAGACAACAATATAAATAAATGGACTCTGCTGCCACTAGATACTCCTAAAGAGAATACAAAGTAACAAGTAGACAAAACTGACTCCAGTTATATAGAGTCCATTTATATATACATTGTCTACCTCGGAGTTTGCATTTCAATGCACTTGGCATATGACAACAAACTTCTGTACAAGCAATGCAAATACAAACTAGAAAGCAGAATGATCTTCTTCACTGAACGTTAGTAAGAACTTTACACGTTGCATGCTTGCAAAGTCGAGTAGATGAACCCCCTGCATACTGTATGTATATACATAATACATGATAGCACAAGGCAAGCATGCAGAAGGCACATCGTACAAGACAGTTGCCTAGAATGAGATCGGACACGATGCAACTGGTAGTGCATTAGGATGAAACGCTCCTTCTATGTACATCTCTGCGCATGTGATGTGCCTACCTGTCTGACTCTCCAGCTCGCTGTAGTTGGGTTTCTTGGAGGCACAGAAGTGTTTCTTCACCAGGAATGATCGAGGCATCTTTGCTGACGAGGAAGCAGCAGGCAGAAGAGGATCTTACATGGAACTCCACTCGCTGGGATTTAAAGGAAAGGCACTGACTTGCTGAGCCCTCCGCAAGCTAATATGCACCCCTCCAGGCCGGGGGCGGGGCTATGCAGATGAGTATTGTCAAGCCGGGGCCATTCAGCAGGCAGAGGGGGCGTGGCTTGAAGTTGCACTGTCCCCTGTCCAGCAGGTGCCTGGAGCTGTGAGTTTTTGGGATGCTTCCCCCCCCTTCCCTATAATAGAGCTGTGCAAACTTTATTGTATCTGAAGGCGATGTGCTTGCCTGCTCCTCCCCCACTATACCTGCACTGGGGAGAAGAGACTTCTTCTTTTAACTAAACTCCTTTGTGACAGCTAAGCCGACACTTGGCTCAGACAATGGAAGCAGCTCACTTGTTCAAATAAGTTTTCTTTTATTTCTTCTTCTTCTTTAAACAAAATGTGGATCCTCCATTGCACCCCGCCTTTCATTCCGCCGCTGTCCTGTGTTCTTTGTGTTTGCACAGTCCCGTGTTTGCACACTGTTGTCCGGGTCAATTGAGCGTAAAACGCGCTGCGGGGTTGTACGACGGCGTCGGGCCCCAGGGAGGATCGCCCTGCGGGAAATGTGTTTATTTCATCATGGATGGGACACTTCCTGGGTCTAAAGCACCAAGCACCATACGAATTATATTGTAAAGCGCTGCGCAGACTGTTGGCGCTATATAAATCCTGTATAATAATAATAATATTGACAATTTTTTTAATCAAATATATATATTTTTTTGCATCTCACATCTGCCACTTCCCTTCTACATGCGCTCACTTCACTGCCAACTGCACCATCCACTTCCTGTCTACATGCGCTCGCTCCATCACCAAC